GTATAAATACAGATAATTAAGAACAGGTAAAGAATTAGCTGCGAGAGACATTGAAATTAATGGAAGGGGAAGTACAGATAACGATCTTTGCGTTTTTCAGAAGAAGTTCATTATCTTTAGTTTTTAAAGTCTTTATACATAAATCTTCTGCTATAAATGTTAAGGGCATACAGTTTGTCATTTGTGTTAATTTTCAAATCATCACCTTTTTAGTTATCTAAAGACCGGGTAAAATTGAAGCGGGGAACAGCTTGAGATTAATCTTCATAATGCATCAAGATATAGTCTTTACGTTGTTTTATATTTTTATCTGGCTGTGATATTCAAATTGGAAGAAGGTGCCTGAGTTTTTTTAAAAGTTTCTTTTCTTCTGACAATTCTACTATGAAATTGTGGTACAAAAGTCTAGAACTTGCAATTTACCAGTTGGACACTCTTTTGTTCATCTGAAATATTGTATGTGTTTTGAGCTTTATTCTTGGTATTTTCGGCCTTAATATTTTAATTACAATATAAAACATTACATTACATTTTGTTTGTCATTTTATTGCTGGATTTTGAGTTTATAGATTTAGTTCTAAAGCTCTTTTGAAGAATTTATTTTTTCTGAATGCACTATGATTGGAGGGCTCAATTTTTTCTGAATGCACTATGATTTGAGGGTCCAACAGTATTTTTTCTTTTTTAATTCGGTGCTATAATTAATTTTGCTCCACATAGTATTTCTCTGCCCACCGAAACTATGCAAAATAATGCTTCAATTTTTCGCAAGCATTTAGTACTGTGTGTAGGGCTGTTAAATGGCTTGCAGAGCTGGCATAGGCTAGCCTAGTGCGATCTGCTTGCTCAACAAAGTGCTGCTCGGCTTGTCATTTTTTTTAACTGAAATTGGCTATTTCTCTTGCAAGCCATTAGCGAGCTGGCTTGCAAACCAGCCAACCAGCTAGCTTGCCCAAGCTGGCGAGTGGCTCACATGGTCAAATCACCGCTCTCAAGCCAAGCTAACACCACTGTGTGTCATGAGCATTTTCAATCAGCTTCCTC